ACTCCGAGTTAAAATTCTTGAAGAGTTACACCAAGGACATTTAGGAATCGTTAAAATGAAGGCAATCTCCAGATCCTACATCTTTTGGAAGGGAATTGATCACGATATTGAAGAAGTTTCTAGGAACTGTGTCGATTGTAATAAGTTCAAATCAGATCCAGTAAGTGCAAGGGTCCATCACTGGGAATATCCAAGTGCGCCTTGGGAACGCATTCATGTAGATTTTGCAGGCCCTATTTTTGAACGAATGTTCTTGATTATCGTTGACGCACATTCTAAATGGCTAGAAGTGTATACCTTATACCTTAAAGTCAGCAAATTCCTTTCAGACAATTGAATGTTTGAGAGACTGTTTTGCAAGATACGGACTGCCTTTAGTAGTAGTGAGTGACAATGGTCCTCAGTTCACATTGGGGGAATTTGAAACTTTTATAAGGAATAATGGAATTAAACACAAAACGTGTGCTCCATTTAAACCGGCAAGTAACGGGCAAGCAGAGCGGTATGTTTACACCGTTAAACAAGCATTACGTGCAATGCAAGGTTATCCAGGAAATATTAAGCAAAAACTTGCCATATTCCTCATGAATTATAGAAAGGCACCGAACATGACAACCTTGTTAAGTCCAGCAATGTTATTCTTAAAAAGAGAAATTAGAACTCGAATTGATTTAGTTGTTCCAAATCTTAAACGAAGAGTGGAAGAACGCATCCGAAGAAATACTTATGATTTCAAAGACAGAAATTTTGAGATTGGAGAAAAGGTTGCCATTCGGGATTATAGATCGGCAAATTCCCGATGGAAAATTGGCAGAGTGACAAATAAGGATGGAGCGCTGCATTATACCATTGATGTTCAAGGAACTTTACTGCACTGGCACGTTGATCAGATCAGATCGGTAGGGAGTGAGGTTCCGTCTGCACCAGTAATCTATGAACCTCGTATGGCTGCTACTTCAGATGGAAACATGAAGCCACAGGCTCCGGACAAGGCCATTGAACAAAGAAGTTAAGCTGTGCAAACTTCAGCCGGACTTGAAACATTGTCAGTTCCAAGGAAAACTGAGCCAGTCATTCCAGTGGATCCTGATAAAGAGTTGCAGCAACCTCAGCCAGGACTTAGACGATCTTCGCGCATCCGCAAAGCTCCTCAGAGATCTCTAAATAAGAAATCTCTAAATAAGTGGGGCGGGATGTAGCATCTGATTTCGAGAGTATCAGTACTCTTATACAGGAGAACTTCTGTGAACGAGAGTAGAGTAAAATGTAATGTAACTGCGTAAATGTAACTGTGTAATGTAACTGCTGTCTTATGAGTTAGTTAGAAATAAATGTTTGTGCCGTGAACTATTCTGTTTTGGTTACGTCATGCATTTCACTGAACCCACACCGCTAGACACAACAGTACTGAGTTTAGCTTGAATCCAGCAAAAAAAGGAAATTTTAGCTCTAAAAAAATTCCTATAAGTTTAAGCAAAGTTTAATTTGTCGCAAATCCTGGATTTGATTCCCAACAAGATTTACGGCATCTTTTTGAACAAATACAGTGATTGCTTCACACAATCTGCTTCAGAATTGGGGGGGGGGCACTGGCATGCAAAAGTGGACACTAAAGAAGTTGATGGCTCAAAACCAATTTGTATGAAGCCTTACAGAAAAAAAGGCGCCGAATGAGCTGTAATCAAGGAAATTCTTCAGGAATTGAAATAAAATGGAACCATTGCAGAAACCCAAATCCTGTTCGTGAAGAAGACTGGAGAATATAGATTACTTGTTGATTACAGACGTTTCAATAGTCAAACTATGAAGAAGAAATTTCCACTATCTAAAATAAAAGATTTACAATTATATGAGTGCAACTGTTTACAGTTCTAGATTTAGCACATAGATATTTACTGAATTCTCTAACTGAAAATGCAAAACTGTCGGCACCGTATATTTTGTAACACCGGATGAAAGTTAAACAGTCTGAAAGAATGATTTTTCGCTTAATTAACACTCCTGCAGAATTTCAACGATTGACGTAACATGCATTAGCCTCAGTATGCAAAGAAATGTTTTGCTACCTTGATGAGATACTTGTTCCATCAATGACTAGAGAAGATACGATTGAGAAATTAATTAAAGTATTCAAAGAAGTAAACTAACCTTGAAGTTACGAATTGTGAATTTGCCAAACAAGAAACAGAATATTTAGGCTTTATTATCAACAAAAATGGAATAAAGCCAATATCAAGAAAAGTTGATGTTGTATCAAAATTTCCAGAACCTAAAAAAAATTCATGAAGTTCCAAGTTTTAATGGCTTAACAAATTTCTTTGGAAGATTTATATTATAAATAATATAAGCTGGACCATTGACTCCATTAACTAAAAATCAAATATTCAGATGGGAAGAAAGTCAGCAGAGTTGTTTCATAACAAAGGAAAAGTGAAATGACAAGTTAACCATTTTCACCTTTGTACAACTTAAAGCTCGTACAGACTGATGCATTGCCAAAGGATAATGCTGTTATATTACTTCAACTCGGAAGTGATGGAAATGTCATGCTGTGTCAGTAAAAAGACAACGGAAACTAAGAATTATTAGCACTTGAGTTGACTTGAACTTCTGCTTGCTACATTTATCATGTATTTGAAGTCATGTAGGTGTGAAATGCACAGCATCCAACTTTGTACCGACGTACACTCAGAAACATGTCTAATAATTATTAATTGTATATCTTGTCTCTCCCCCTTCTCCAAGGGGACAGTGCAAGATAGACTTCTGCTATCAACAGAAATTTTTAATGTTTTTACCGATTCCCCTCCCCCCCTTTCTTTTGCTTCATCAGATTTTCTGCATTTGTTATATGTTATGTTATATATCAATTTACTTCCAACTTCTATTTCTGTTTTCAGCAATTCCTAAATCTCATATACTTTTGTGTCATTTGGATATACATTAAAATTTGTAATATACAGTGTTAAAATCCACATGGACACAATATTTAATTAGAGTACTTTTTCTGAATTCAAATTTTAAAAACTGTGCTGTAATGCATACTGTACATTGCATTTATATATTGCATTCATCCCTTATGAATGTTTCATAATCTCTATGAAAACTGCTGTAATTTTTCAATTTTATGTGGAAAAACGTTTTTTATGAACTAGCATTATTTCTGTAAAGATGCCAAAATATTTTTCTTAATGACATGAAAGTGCATAGAAATCTGTTTTGGGCACATATTTTCATTAGCTTTTGGGGTTAATCACTCAACTCAGCTGCTGAAGACCAATATCCCTGCTATCAACTTAGAGACTACCGTGACTTAGAGACAACTTGGAGACTTCACGTGATTGGAGAAATATATTTTTTCCAATGAGAGAAGAAATTTTTGTGCATTTCATCACTTCTGTGTTCTTATACTGCATGCAGCTGGATTTGCTGATCAATCACTCTTTTTACCAGTTTAAAAAAAAACAACATTTAAGTTGGTGATTTGCAACCTTCTTTGTGATTTCTTCAAATATAGTAAGATTATTCCAGTGCGATTTAGAGACTTAATGTATTATTTTAAATTATATAAAATGAAATCATATATCTTCTCACATTCTTGCTTTAAACTGACTTTCATGTCAGAAGTTTTTTTTTTTTTGGATAAAATTTGGTCAAGGCTGACCTGAATTAGTGATTGCGAAATGTATCAAGTAGTGTGAAGTATTGCTTGGCTTCATAAAATTTGTATCAATAAAATTTGTTTGATAACTAAGAAAAAAACAATATTAGCAATGATCAGAGCAAAAAGATGAATTTCTTTGCATTAAAGAATTATGCAGGGGAAATGCACATTTTGCAGCATAAGTGGATATGATTTTATAAAATCTCATGCTGGGTGAATGATATTGTGTAATAAATAAATATTGAAAAAACAAATTGCCCGTAAATCTAACATTGAAAATCTGGATAAAAACTGTAAGCTAGCTACTGCTTTCAATGCTTTAGGTCATGCTAGCCCTCTGTTTATGAAAATGTGTCCTGATTCAAGTGTTTTAAAGAAATGTTTATGTGCTAAAACAAAAACTTCTGCCATTCCTGTTGAGATTGCAAATGTTGCCAGAAGAATGTGGTAAGTATTTTGCAAAAGTGCACCTTCACCTTGTCTGTTGATGAAAGCCAAGAAAGGGATTGCAAACTGTATCCAGTTGTTGCAACTTTTTTTATTGAGGCAAAGGATCAAATAAAAAACCTAATTTTTGTTATCTTAATTGGTGACTCAGCTGGTCAGAATACAGTGGTGGCCAAAATTGTGGACACTTTTGGAAATTTTTATGTTTTCAAACTTTGTATGCTTATAGAAAATGTTATGTTTCGCAAAATGCAAACTTGTATATATCATTTTAAAGAGAATTTATTACTGAATTCAATACAAAACACAAAATTCAATTATTTGCAATAATTTTTTTTTTTTTTTTTTGTTCTCAATTTTTTCAAGAAATCTGATTTCTCACGAGGTTGGGAGGTACTTGAGTTCTTTTTGGGACTGGGAACTAGAAAATTGAGATGGCATAGCTAAAAATGAATGATGAGTTGAATTTGTGTTATATTTAATTTTAAAGTTCACTGAAATGCCAGAAGAACTGATATACCAGTCTTAAAACTTCATGATGTCCTCTCCTGAATACAGAACCACACAAGTATGAAAGTGCATAGATCCCATGAATTTGCAGAAATATTGTTTTAAGAATTAATGCAATAGTTCCTGCAGAGCAGTCCATATTTCTGTTATATTTTCAGATGAATTATTTTTATGTTCTTCAGTAATTTGTGTTCCATCCCATATATGTTCAATAACATTTAAGTCTTCTTGACTTATGTGACCATTTTGAAAGACCCATACTCAGGAGAGTTTACTTCCAGTCATTCATAGGTGGTATAGCTATATATTCTTGATGTCCTTCTGGCATTTGAGTATAATTTAATAATAATATAAAATATAATATTTTCTGCTATTTCAGGCTGATTTTGTCATTGAATATGTTGGAGAAGTTATTACTTATAAGGAATATCGTAAGAGGGCAGAGACATTACAAGCACATGGAAAATCAAACTTCTATTTCCTGCAGCTGGATTCTACTCGTATAATTGATGCTGGCCCATGTGGAAATGCAGCACGATTTATTAATCATTCATGTGATCCCAATTGTGAGATGGTTAAGTGGTCTGTTAATGGAGATGTTCGTATTGGTATTTTCGCATTGTATGATATTGCTGCAGGTAAGTAAGGAAAAAAAAGTATTATTATTCAAAGGGGGAAATTAACTAGTTCCCCTGTCTTTACATTTAGAAATGCAATTTTTTAAATAAATAATATTGACTATTCTGTAGTTGAAGAATGTAGTATTTTTAGTTAATTAGAAAAGCAAGTAATTAACTTCGCATGTGCATAGTTTTCAAGCTACTTTTGCATCATATTGTGAAGTATCTCAAGTGCTGTTAAAAAGAAAAATAAACTTCCGTGCTTGTTATGGCAAGGTTAAATGCTGTCTCAAGGCAACTTGTCATATCTAGAAACCTAATTTTTGAAATGAATCTGGTAGTTTTTAATGCAATGTATTATTTTTACTTCCTATGTTAAATTGATGCTGTACTTACATTTATAATTATTAGAAGAGATTTTCCAAAGTTATGTATATTATTTTCTAATTTTTGTTTGTCTTGACATGATTATAAACAGACGATTGCAAGAATCTTCTGAAGATGTTTTGCAAGAATTTTAATTATAAATTGCACAAGATATGTTTCAGCTTCAAAGTTGTTATTCAAAACTTGACGAGAAATATGTGCGAAATGTTGAGGTGTCCTTAACTTAATAAACTAATAAATTCATTAAGCTGACTAAATAAATTTGTATTACCACCAAGTGTCATTTTCATCCTTAAGTGTGCAGATGCGTAGTTGCCACGGAGCAGTGATGCAGTTCTATCAAAGCTAAAGTGGTGAAAGGTTTTATAGCCAGTCTTTCAAGTAGACCCTTGGGTACTTCCACTTTCATGTGGAAGCTAATTCAGTCAGTTCATGGTTTGTATTTTCCCTTCCAGTTTTATATTGTATATACTGAAATTTTAGTGTATTGTAAGCTTGAACGTGTCTATAAATGCTATCAAAAAGAAAGAAGAATGATTGAAGAAAGCAAAACATATTCTTGAAGTGAAATTGCAACTAATTTAGGGTTGACTGTGGATTGGATATAGCCATAATTCCGGATTTCTTACTGTTTTAAAACAGACGTTCCAGATGTATGAAGTTTTGACTCATTTTCTTTCTCAAATTTTGCTGTAGATAATATAATGATCATATAAATTTAAAACTCATGAAATCTAAAAAGTGCTATGAGAAATCAGTTTGCTCAGACAAGTTTGCCTTATACATTATTAGTTATTTTTGTTGTATACAGAAAAAGAAAATACTGATATTGTAAAGTTTTGGTTTGAAGTATTTAGGCTAAGAGAAGATGGAGAACAGGAGTGTCCAGTATATATAGAACTGATTAAATCTCTTTTAACTTGCTTCCATGTTGCTGAAAATTTTGATATTGTGGAGGCTGAAATATTATTCGCATTATACAGAAATATGTGTGAAACTGAGGTTGACAGAAACTGTCTATGAAGACATTGGTAAAAATTCTATGAATAATTTATTGAATAATTGGACAGCTTATGGAAATTCATTACAGTGCATGAACCATTCTGTTTTTTTGCAATTCCTCATCTTCAAAATGTACTGATATGCATACTTCTAGATCTAATCTAGTGCTTTAAGGCCCACATGTGGCTGTGTAGTTAAGTTGCTGAACACAAGTAGTTTAGCTCAGTGTTCAAATCCAATCAAATGTGTGGCTGCTTTCTTGATTTTTCCATGTCTAATGTGTATACAAACCAGTTTCTCTTAGAAAGTGTACTCCGAAGGCATCCCTTCCATTAGGTAGATATTCCTTGAGTGCTTTCCCATAATAAAGTGTGCCAAAACTCTGATACTTTTAAACTAAAAGCCATTGTCTGCATCAAAATGTCTTACTAATCATGTTGAACTAAATTGTTAGTGATGACTAATATGACGGCTGCAGTTTTCAGAAATACCTCATGGGGGGAAGAGGCAAGCAACTTCTTAATTAAAAAATGCTCAGAAATTATAAGAGGTTAGTGTGTGAAATGGTGTAGTGAAATATGTATTAATTTTTAATTAATTGGTACTTTTTGCTTCTGTGATGAAATTGTTTAAAAATATGTGCATAATTGTTTGCATCTGTATATCATAAATATTCTGAATTATTTGATATTGTACACAATACCATCCCACATCCTGAAAATGACTCCACAGTAATTTTCATGATTTTTTAAATGTGGTTACTCTCATTCTTTTTTTTTTTTCCAATTAATTAATTATTGTTTGCTGCTACTGAACGTAATGAAATCTCCATACACTAAAATTTCAACTGTTTGAGGAGCATAGAAATGCCAAATATGTGAAAATTCCAGTTAGATGAGCATTTTGTGCTAGAAAGTCAAATGAAAGAGATATTTCTAAAATTTAAAAGAAGTCTTCTAATTTGCTGTTGACTTGGATTTTACAAGCCTTAAAAGCCTACAAAACAGATTGCATTTCAGATGTACACTGCTCCCAAAAAAAAAAAAAGGAACAGTGCTATATCTCCAGTTCTACTGGGCCGATTGACAAAATTCAAACTGTGTTTTTCATGTCTCGAAAGCGCGACTTAGGATATATATTAGATTTATATATAGCACTATTCTAACATAGGTATTTTGACGCAAAATTGGACTTTTTCTGAAATAACATATCAATATTTTTCCATATTTCGATTCTATGACTCAAATTATGCCAGAATACCAAGTTTTGTAAAAATCGTACAAGTAGTTTTTAAAATATTAGCTCTCAAAATTTTAGCTCCTCAATGTTAATTGAATTTGGTAAATATTTATTGTCTCTTTTTTTATTAAACTTTTATTATTTTTCCTTTCACATTTCGAAATTTAGATTCATTCCAAATAAAATTTACCCATTTTTTGTGTTTTATTTTTTAAATTTCTGTTTTTAAATAATTGTTATAAATTTTTTGAAAAACTTTTGAATTATAACCTATAAAAGTTTTACCATCATCTTAAAGTAGGTGTATTTTTAAGCATATCTGCAAAAAATTAGACTTTTTTATTCAAAACTTTCTAAGATATACACGAATTTACATATTTTCCCGTTTTGAAATTTGGCATCTTTTTTTGAGTGATAATAATGCCAAATGTGGTTTATGGAATTTTGTTACAGTGAATTGCCACAGCTATTTTTATTAAATTTCAAGTAAAATTTTATGGAGAATTAATTATATGAAACATTTTCCCTCAATGATACATAATAAATATTTATTAATACTATATGAAAAGCTATTTTTTAAAAAAATTGCAGATGATATTATTCAAATTTTTAACTATTTTTTTTTAATTTCTCTCTTCTTCCTTTTTTTAAAAAAAATAAAAGTAAATTTTTGTAAGAGTAAACTTTTACCTTCGGCGTTTTATCGTCTGCTACTTTACTTCAACTTTGTTTAAATCGAATTCTGTATAATTGAGAATTTTCGTTTGATGTATATTTGAATTTTATGAAAATATTTTATGACATTAACTGCATAATTTATTTCTAAAGAAACTGTTGCTTATGAAGTGGCTGAAAGAGCGGCTGATACTATCATCCATATTTTTAAAGCGCAGTATATTTTTATAGAAACAAGATTTAGAATAATCATTTTTATAAAAGTCAAATTATGATATAAACATACAACCCTCTAGAGACTGAATTAATGGAAGTTCAATGGTTATGTAGAAACGATCTGCAGCTACTTAATGGCTGGATAAGTCAGCAGGTTCTGTGGACAAGTAAGAATAATTATATAAACGCCACCCAACATTCTGGATTTAATTAACAACGAGGATACGATGTTTATTAAATGAATTTAAGAAGTTTTAAAACATAAAAAATCAACAAATTTTTTATCCTTAAATGTATTTTTGTGCGTAGCGTATTTTCATTATATCCTTAAAATTCTAATTTAGAATGTAATTGTCAAGAACTGAATCCTAATCATCAGTAATATAGTAAGTAATTATTACGGTTATTAATAAATCCTTCTTATAAAATAATTGCAAATATTTCAAAAAACTTTCTGTTTGAATGAAAATATTTTTCTATGCAAATATTTTAAATTTTATATTAATCAAGATTGCACACGATATTATTTATTTACACTTCAATTCTTACCGTCAGCTCTAGTAGAAGTTACAAATCAATTAAATTAAAGTTTGAATAATTTAGGATTGGATTGGATTGTTTAATTATGGCAAAGCATACGAGGGTTATCTGCCTAAAGGGAGGGATGCCTTCGTGGAGGACTTTCTAAGGGAAACTGGCTCGTATACACGTTACACATGGGGAAAACACGAAAACGCCCATGCAGCCAGCCCGTTCGCGGGATTCGAACCTCAGACCGAACTACCAGTGTTCAGCGTCTTTACCGCTCGGCCGCTGGTGGGCTATTTAATTAAGGAATGACCATCTAAGTTTAGAAACAGCGTACCGTAACAGCAATTCAATTATTGGCGCCGTATCTTTCATGTTACTCCCGATTGGCAAGCTACATGATTTTTAATGAGTATTCGGGTTTTGCCAGTAACTTCACTTGGAAATCGCGCTTAAACTAGGTTAGTTGGTTATTTGAACATAAAAAGAACATGGGAGCTATTTGATTAAGATGCTTTCATAGAGAACCTTTGTAAAGAGAACCTAGAAAACTACGAAAACCAACCATGCAGCCTGGGTTAGACTTCGCAACAAACAATTAGTATTTAACAATCTTCAAATGCTAGACAACTGGTGAGACTACAATTAAATCTCCAATTTAATATTTTATTTGTAAAATATTGTTGTATTCTTAGACAAAAAAAGCAGATTTTAAGTTTTGTTAACTCGTTAGTAAACTACCAAGCCGTAGTGTAAATGAATATTCAATTTCTTTTGCAATAATTGTATTCACTTAATATTCTTGGAATATGAGCTAAAGAAGGAACGTTCTCGGAAAGATTAAAGAAGTGTTTAAATCCAGTGATATTAGGTTTGTCTTACAAGCTCAGGATCAAAACGATTCTGCAATTGCCCGAGTAGTTGACTTGTAAATGGCTGTGAATTAAGCAGATGACTTTTCAGAAAACGTA